CTAGCCATGTGTGGTGGTGCATGCCTGTAATCCCAGCACTTGGGAGGCTGAGGCAGGAGAATCAATGTGAATTCAAAGCAAGACCCTGTCTCAAAAAAAGAAAAAGCCAAAGTCTCTCCTCTATACAGGCAGATCTGTGTCCTTAGAGAGACATTGGCCCAGGATTTCTCAGTTAATGCCACACAGGAAAGGATGTTGTAATGTTCCTTCCAGAAATCTCTAAGGGTTAAATCTATATCTGAGACCATCAGGAAGCACAAGTGGCCAGCATTTGGCTTGTAACTCAAGACTTTGGTAGTAAGTTAAAACTAAAATAAATGAACTAAAATTCCCAAGTTGTTTGTATGTCAAGCCAGTCATAACTTGAGGGTATACTGTATTAGTATACAATAGACTAGACTATTAATATACAGTAGACTGACTAGATTCACCTCCTTGTGCAGGTGGGAAAAGCCCTATGGCAGTGTGTTCTAAGTACATTTCCAAAAAGAGGTATGGCCTTGGGCCAGGGATTAGCTCAGTAGTTCCAGCATGCCTCACAACCACAAGGTCCCGAGTTTGATCCCCGGTACCAAAAAAAAAGAGGTATGGCCTTGAAGCTGTTGTTGGAGCAAATTTCTGTGCAGACTCAGTTCGTGAGAGCTTCCCTAAGGACTGTGGTGTGTGTGCCTGGGAACTGTATTCGGAACTTGTTTTCCCTTGTTAAGCCAGTCTGGACATTCAGATTAGGTTTCCTCTGTTTTTGCAATGTATTGGAATTTTAAGGACAGAATTTCATTGTCAATACACTTGGGCACTTGAGTAGTATAAAAGAATAAGGAAGCAAGATTCACCATGCAGAACCTCAGCAATTTGATTACACATTTTTCAGCCTTTTATGGCCTCTGTCCTGCCAAGCCTGTTTGTGATGTATCTTTGGGTGGTGACAGATCAGGTTGGAGGAAGTTTTTCTTAATTGTTAATAGATCCAGTAAACTTCAACCCTAAGCCTGATCTCCTTTTCCTTTTTCAAAATTTGAAGGATTTCAAGCCAGGCATGGTGGTGCATGCCTGTCATCCCAGCACTTGGGAGGCTGAGGCAGGAGAATTGCTGAGAGTTGGAGGCCAGCCTGGGCTGCATAGTGAGATACTGTCTAAAAAAGAACCCTCCTCACAACCCCCCCCCCCAAAAAAAGCAGTAGGACCTTAAGCAAAGTTCTTAAGTATGGAACCTTGGTTTCCTCAATTTGTAAAATCGAGATAATGAAACAGGTATGGTGGCACATTCATGTTATCCCAGCTACTTAAGAGGCTGAACCAAGATGATTGCTAGTTCAAGACCAGCGTGAGCAACTTAGTGCTGCCATGTCTCAAAAAAGGGCTGAGACGGGGCTGGGGATTTAGCTCAGTGGTTCCGTCGCCTGCCTCGCAAGCGAAAGGACCCAAGTTCAATCCCCGGTAACCCCCCAAAAAGGGGCTGAGGATGTAGTTCAGTGGTAGAATGCTTGCAAGGGCCCTGGGTTCAATCCCCAGCACTGCAGAAGAGGTGAGTGGCTGTGTATGGGGGCTGGTAATTGAATCAATCTCATAAAGATATGACAAAGATTAAATAAAAGTACATATAGAGAGCTTAGTAACAAGTCAAGAATATGGTAAACACACAGATGATAGTGTATTTAGCCTTCCAATGATTTCATTATTCTTTCTTGGAAATGGACTGTGTAAGGTACATGATTGTGAATCACCGTGAAGATTGAATTGGGAAGCACACAGTCACTGTTGGGATTGCCTCACTAACCAGCAGGCCTAGTCAGGGTAGAGTGCACATTTGTGTTTTCGGACCATGGCACAAATACCGTGAACTAATGGTGTTAATTACCCTCCAGGTGAAGAACATCATTTACCATGCAGTGAAAGATGCTGTTGGCACCCTCAAGGCTCATGAATCCAAACTGGCACGGTCTTAGGAACGGAGAAATCCCAAGCTCCCCCATGAAGCAGGTCTTTCGCTCACGACACTCACAGGGACTGGCAGGGTTCTTGGTGCAAGCAGAGGCCCTTGGCCCAGAGCCGGTGTGGTCAGTATTACAGACTCTCCAGCCACTCTCTGCGCCGCCTCAGCACTGAAGGCCGACACACTGCTCACACACACTTTCAGACTCCAGCCCAGGGTGCTGCCTCCCCCATCCTGCAGCCTCCGGGAATCTGATTGCCTGGACATCATGGGCTTTCCTGCACATTCTCCTGATTTGATATCATGGAAACCAGAAATGTGGGCACACCTTTCTTCTCTCTTCCTCTTGTGCCTAATTAAGTGGGAATGTGTTTGGAGCTGGCGGGAATCCCATAGCTGGTACAAGTACAGGTGATTGCTTACACACACCTGATGGAAGCCTGACTGTGTCTGCACGTGACTCCAACACAGCGCATCCAGGACACGGGCGGAGCCACTCCCCATACTCTCCCTGAGCACTGGAGTCTCAGGACCTGGGAGAGTCCACTGCTTTTGCTCCAGGATTAGGAAATGTGTGTATTTAGTGAAAAATAGGTTTGTAGTGAAATAGTAACTATTTCATGAAAGTAGATATTTTTAGAATTTTTGAAATGCCACAGTTTGTTTTCCTGGATTACAAGGAAAGGCACATGACATTTAGTCTTCCTTTCGCTAAAACTCTTTGAAGAAATATGATTTTTAGAAATCAGCTGCCCATCATAGCACAAATTCAGCCAAAACAGAGTTAAAGGAATTGGCTTTTTAGAATTCTTTTAGTCCCATACTGTCCCCTATCCCCTCTTAGTGTTCTCTTGAGGGAACAGTCATCTCAGAACTCGGTCTTGTCCGAGCTGTGGTGTGTTCCCCTCGTGCACCCACTGGTGACTCCGGGAGCCGTCTTCACCTCTTACCAGCGTTCCCTTGGGACTCCTCAGACATTTCTAAACACAAAAGAAAGCTTAATTTCCAACATGACGTTTTTGGGGTTTTGTCCAGAAATATTTTCAGCAAAACTTTCCAACTCAGTGGAGTTTTTATTAAGAATTTATTTGAAAATGATGGAATTCATTGGCCCATAGGTACATTGGGAAATTATCTCTTTCCAGCTGTACTGTAATGCCCTGCAGGCTTGTTTATATGTTCACACTTTTTTTAAAATAAAAGTCATTTACTGTAGAATACTTTTAATTTCACTTTATGTATTTTAATTTTGTTGAAGGGCTGATTGGGATTTCCATGTTCTTATTAAAAATCTAACAAATCTGTTTGAGTGAACTACATTCTTCCTGTGCCAACCCTTCTAAAATCAGGGCCACATTGAAGGCTGGGTTAGAGATGGGAGATTCATTACCAGGTCTTCATTATTACACTGCACCTGATCTTTATTCTTTGCTTTCTGAACGTGTACCTAGTTGGGAGAAGGGAAAGTTCTAGGGTGAGGTCAATGTGGTTTAGAGCAGTAGTGGTGACCCTATGGCACACATGCCACTGCTGGCTGTTTGTAATCATTGAAAGTGCTAAAAGGTTCACCATCACTGGCTTAGAGGATGAATGAAGAAACGGTTTTCCCAATTTGTGCTCTGTGACAGAGTGGGAGAGGTGAGGTTCCGCCTCCCAAGGGCAGAGGCTGGGGGAAGGGGCCGTGGTCTGTGGCTAAAGCAAGATTTGAGCACTTAGTGATAGAATTCCTCAAAGCAGGAGTCCTGACTGTCCTTTTATGAAAACTGTGGCCCTAGATCTACCTCAGATCCTGGAACAATGTCAAACAGGTTTTTCTTTATCAAGCAATAATTGAAGTGTCAGGCAGGGGATTTAGCTCAGCAGCAGAGCTCCTGTCTGGTAAGCTCGAGGTCCTGGTTTCAATCACCAGTACCAAAATAATAATAATAAAATTGAAGTGTCTTGACGATTGAGAACAGACTGCATTCCAGTTAGAAGAGACCTTTTGGAAAAACTTTTGTAAAGATTAGTAAGAGGGGTCGTAGAGGCTGCTTCTCTGGAACCTATTGGAAAACATCTTCCAAACATTTAAACTTGGAAATACAATTATCAGGTTTGGAAATAGACCATTGTGTGGTTCAAGGATGCTGAGTTTGAATAAGACCATAACTGAAATACAGAATTCGGCAGGTCCATTCATTCCAGATGGGGCACAGGTCGACGCTGTGATCGCCAGAAGGGTTACACCTCAATTAGAAGGTAGAGGGGGATGCAGCAGCTTTAAAATGGGGCAGGAAAGGAGAGCAATGGGGCTGGCCCGGTGAGGGTGGAGGTTGGAGCTTTGTTGCTTTGATGAAAATCAGGAGGCAGGCTAGCCTACATTCTGGATAAAAATGTCTTCAGAATTAGGACAGTCACTGCCAGTGCTTGCTAGTGGGGGTGGAACTGGAGCCCCTGGACTTATCACTACGTGTATCCCAGCCCCACTGTTGGAAATGAAATCCCGTGGCTGCCAGGTCCCAGCTGTGTTCCCCTGCAGTTTATTGACAACCTAAAAAAAAGATCAGGTGGCACCTGCATGTCTTCTTTCAGCTGGGTTTGGTGATTGTGGAGAAAGGGTGGAAAAATGTTTTTCCAGGCCTGTAATGGGGGAGGAGCTTGCTAATCAATAGGGATGCAGCCTGTTCAGACTTCCTGGGTTCGGTTCGTATCTTATGGTTATGACTTAGTGGCTTTGTGACCTGCAAATTACTGAGCCTCCTTAAACGTCTCATGTCTATTTTCAGGATGAGAGTAACTATAACTTACGCCTTATAGGATGATCATGAGGATTCAATGCAGTAATGCATGTGAAGCTCTTAGCAAAGGGTCTGGCTCACAATAAGCCCTCAACAAACCATAACTCATTCCTCATGGGATACTTAAACCTTCAGCCTGATGTGGACAGAACAGGAGGTGGGATGGGACTTATGTCAGGACTTCCACCAGCGGATTCCAAGCCCAAGAAAGGTGAACCGGCACCTAGAGGAGGACAGAGCACGGAGGGCGAAGGCGCATGCCCAGCCGCAGCAGGTGCTGTTGGGGCGGGCAAGGCCCGGCGGCCTCCCCTTTAAGAACCGCCGCCGCCGCCCACGTCCCGCCGCTGCGGCAGGGACCTCGCCTTTAACGCCACAGCTCCGAGCTCGCTGCCCTCGCGGCGGCCGCTGCCGCTACCGCAGTCCCCCGGCCTTGGGCATCTGCATCCTCACGGGCCGGTCCCCGCCCCGCCCGCGCCCGGGCCCGCCATGGTGTCCTGGATCATCTCTCGCCTGGTGGTGTGAGTGCGGAGGCCGCGGCAGGGGTGACGGGGACAGTGATGAAGTGGCGCGGGGGGGGGGGGGGGTTGCTCCCGGCTTCATGCATGCGAGTCACCACAGGCAGGCGCATCCTCCCTGCGCGGGGCTCCCAGGAGCAGAGAGACGGGGACCCAAGGCTGGAAGGGGCCATGGCAGACCTGGCTTCCCGGGGCCTCACCCACGTTATTCAATAACTCCTTTTATGTTGAATTTCCCTGCTCCTCCGCCCTCCAACCTAGGGGCTGGGCGGCCGCTGGTTTCTAGGGGAGATGGGCTCATCCCTCCGGACCTGGCAGATCTGGGGTGCAGGAGCCTCGGATCAGGCCCACCCTCGCCTTGCCTTGGGGGAGCGGAGAGCAGCTCGGAGTGGGAGTGGAGGGCTCCTCATGCCAGAGCGCGGAGCATAGCTGGTCCCATCAGGGCCTCCTCCCTCTGACTTCTGCTGACTGTCAGAGAACACGGGGTCCGGGGACGAGACACCCGCCCCTAAGGTGCCCGGGATGGAAGTCCAGGAATCGATCTGAAAGCAGAGATTCAGGGAGAACGAAGTGTAGCGGGTAACAGGGAGGGGATGTGTGTTCAGCCTGGGATTGTAAAAGCGCCCCCATCCCACCCGGGGGTGTTGGTGGCCTTCATTCCCAGCTGTAACTCACATTGTGGAGCTCTGTCCCTGGCTTCTCTTCCAAGCTCCAAGAAGAAAACCACCCCCCGCCATACAGACACACAGACTTTGTCCTTGTGGTTTCTGCCCTGCACTCCACCTGCACAGGCAGCCTGGGGAGCCTCAGAGCCAACCATTGCCCTAAGCTCAGGACCCTAGCCCTCCGCCTCCACCATGGCTGACCCCCAGTAGCCCAGCCCCTTGCCTTCCCCTCCGCTGTTGTCATGTGCTGATGTCCTGGTTTCCTAGACTTCCATGTGGCCTGTAGGCTAGTTTGTCCTCTGGCCTGGGCAAGCTCCCTAAGGGGCATTGCTCCTTCTTCCACTCCTCCCTGTGTCCTACCTGTGGTCTGTAATGGGATCACCAGCCAGGACCTTGAGCCCAGGCCCGTCCCGAGACTGGTCCCCAGGGTGCTTCCAGGGCCTCCTGTCCCTGTGCCCTCTGTCCCCAGGGCCACAGTAGTGCCTCTAACTGCTGGTGGAGTACTCTGTGAGATGGTGTCAGGTTCCTTTGTGGAGCGGTCCCTAGCCTGCTTGGCTCTGAGACAAGGAGGTAGAGGGTAAGCGTAGATGAGTTAAATGGGCATAAAGCCAATAAGGAAGGCACTCCTGGGGCAGTGACCAGACCTCCCACTCCCCCAGGACATGCTAGTGCATAACTGAGGATGGAGGGTCATGGCCAAAGGGATCACTTTGGACCTTCTGGCCTCTGGCAAGAGGTAGAAAAGAAGTGAAGAGTGGAGAGGGAGGGGCATGGCCTTTCCTGGCTAAGGTCCCCATGCATGTGCATCTCAAGCCTTGACTGCCTTGACTAACCCCTGATGTGGCTCTCTGGAGTTCTGCTGATTTTCCCCTCGCCTACCCACGGGCCGGAGAGGGGCCCAGTAACCATGCCTGCCTCCCTAGGCTCATCTTTGGCACCCTGTACCCAGCCTATTCTTCCTACAAGGCGGTGAAGACCAAAAATGTGAAGGAATATGTGAGTGGATGACCCAAACCCCCTACCCCACCCACATGGCAGAGATAGAAGACAGTGGGTCACACAGCAGATGGGGTGACTTAGTGCCAGCACTGTTAGCTACTGACAAGACTGTGAGGCCAAGGGTAGTCATGCATGCCTGTAATTCCAGCCATTTAGGAGGCTGAGGCTGGAAGATTGCAAGTTCAAGGCCAGCCTGAGGAATTTAGCAGGATCATGTCTCAAAATCTAAAAAATAAATAAAAAGGGCTAGAGACATACCTCGGTACTAAGGCCCTGGGTTCAATCCCCACTACCACAAAAACAAAACAAAAACTGAGAAAAGGAACTTCCAGGGTATTCCTTTCTCCTGGCCTTAATGTGATCCACCAAATTTGAAGGTGTCCCACCTTCCCCTCAGCCCCTCCAGCTTGTTAACAGGCAGAAGCAGGGTCCTGGATGTTCCTCTCCTTAGCCCTGGTATTAAGAGCCAGCAGATTGGGCCAGGGATTTAGCTCAGTGGTTCTGGCGCCTGCCTCACAAGTGCAAGGTCCCAAGTTCGATCCCCAGTACCAAAAAAAGCCAGCAGATGCAGATGGGGGTCCTGGGTGTTCCTGCCTCTCAGCCCCAGGCCCCAGTGGACAGGACTCTCCATCCCCGCAGGTGAAATGGATGATGTACTGGATCGTCTTTGCCTTCTTCACCACAGCCGAGACACTCACAGACATCGTGCTCTCCTGGTGAGGTCCAGCTCCCCTCCAGCATCTCAAGGCCCAGGCCTCAACCTTTCTAACCAGACAGATGGAAGACTAGGATCCAGGGTGCAGGCTCCTGACTCGTGGCAGTCCCTTGGAGTCCTGCCTGACTTTAATCAGCACAAGAATAGATAGTCCCTTCATTCTTTCTGGTGGCACCCGAGCACCATGACAGCATTCAGGAGCCCTGCTTTGCTCTACTGACTGTCACTGTAGGTCATGGCTCTCTAGGCCCCAGCTTCCCTATTTGTGAAACAGCCATATGATTCAGTCCTAGAGACCTTGGGTGCTTGTGTTCTCAAGGCACTTACTTCCCAGGCACTACTAACTATGCATGACTGAGCATTCTGAGGACAGGAGATATATCTGAATCAGAGGCACGTTCATACCAGAAGCTCAAAAATGTTTGCTGAATGAGAAAATTCCTCTTGGAAGACCATACTAACAGCACAGTGCACTGGAAATAAAGAGAGTTTTACGGAGAGGTGGAAGGTGGAAGATCATTGCAGCAAAGCCCATGTATCTGAGAACCAGTTTTAGCAGAGGAAGGTGGTTAGGAAAGAGAAGGGCTAAAGGATGAGTCTAGATTCCCTTGACACAACCAAAGGGGAGGGCTTGATAAGGTTCCTTGTGAGGATGTAGGAGACCTGAAGGAATTGCAGCCTGAGCAGAAGCAGCTATGGGAATAGAGAGGAGTTCTTAAAAGCAAGGGCCTCTGGGCAAAGTTTCACATACCCATAGTCCCAGCTATCCAGGAGGCTGAGGCAAGAGGATCCCAGAGCCCTGGGGTTGAGGCCTGGCCTACATAACATAGATACCATCTCAAAAGCATTTCTTTAGCTGGGCATAGGGGCACACTCCTGGGCAATTTAGCAAGATCCTGTCTCAAAAGAGGAAGGGGCTAGGGATATAACTCAATGTAAAGGCCATGGATTAAATCCCCAATGCAATCCCATCCCAGATCCCATCCCAGTCCTCTTCTTGGAGGGAGGCCAGGAAGAGGAGTGGTGAGGAGCAGGCATAGGGGACTTGGAGAAGCGGGTGAGGAAAGCTGCTGCTGTCAAGAATTCCTTCCGGTCACTTCTTACGTTTGCACCTGGAGTCTCAGCTGAGCCTCCCAGTTCCCTTGGGAGCTGCATGGTGACCTCAGCACACAACAGAGTGAAGGGTCATCCAGGGTCAAGCAGGGAGTCAGTGTTGCTGAGCCAGTGCACTCTGACTCCTCCCTGTGCTCTGTGCTTGCCTCTGTGCCCCCAACAGGTTCCCCTTCTACTTTGAGCTCAAGATCGCCTTTGTGATATGGCTGCTGTCCCCTTACACCAAGGGCTCCAGCGTGCTCTACCGAAAGTTCGTGCACCCGACATTGTCCAACAAGGAGAAGGTTTGCCCTGCTCTAGCTCCCTTCCCAGCCTGCCCCCAGCCATGAGAGCCATGTACACTCTTGACTCTCCCTATGGGTGATCAGGCAGGGCCCTGGCCTCCCAGAGCAGGCAGCACCTTGGTGCAGCTGTGAGCAAAGGTAGAGCAGCCCCTACCTCTCACCTCTCCCTCCTTCCCCTAACCCCTCAGGAGATCGACGAGTACATCACACAGGCCCGAGACAAGAGCTATGAGACCATGATGAGGGTGGGCAAGAGGGGCCTGAACCTGGCCGCCAATGCTGCCGTCACAGCTGCTGCCAAGGTGAGATGGGGATGGGGGCGGACTGCCAGGGCAACCACCTTGATCATCCTGAGCACCTGGCCAGGCCCTTGGCATCCTCCTGTCCTCAGGGCTGTGGAGGCTTTGGGTTTGTGCAGCTCAGGGTTCCAGCCCTGGCTCTGCTACTCTCTGGCTGAGTCATTTCCATTATTGAGCCAGTTTCCTCACCTGACCAAACGGAAACTATGGCCCCAGCCACATAGGCTGGGGCGAAGATAGTGTGGATAAAGCACTGGGCCCAGGGACTGCTGCCAGCTCCGTGGTGATGTCTGTCTCCACCGCCCTCTGCCCCACTCCCTTGGTGTGTGGTGGTGACCACAGGGCCAGGGGGTGCTGTCAGAGAAGCTCCGGAGCTTCAGCATGCAGGACCTGACGCTGATCCGAGACGAGGATGCACTGCCCCTGCAGGGGCCCGACAGCCGCCTCCGACCCAGCCCTGGCGGCCTCCTGGACACCGTTGAGGACTTAGGTACAGGCAGGGCTCAGGGCTGCACAGAGGCTCAGGGTTGAGGAGGGGAGGTAGGAAAGACCCCTGGACCCTAGATCTCTTTTCCTCCTCTCAACCAGGAGATGACCCTGCTCTGAGTTTAAGGTCTAGCACAAACCATGCCGATCCCCGGACAGAGGCCTCAGAGGATGACATGGGAGACAAGGCCCCCAAGAGGGTCAAATCCATCAAAAAAGTACCCAAAGCTGAGGTGAGAGCATAGGCCAGAGCTTGGGAAAACGGGGGTTGGGAGTAGCCTGAGCCCTGCCTCCCTCCCTTCCTCTTTCCTTCCCTCCACAGCCACTGGCTCCCAAGACATTGAAGACCCGGCCGAAGAAGAAGAGCTCTGGCGGGGGCGACTCAGCGTGATGTTCACACCCCAGGCTGCAGTGTTCAGAGTGAGGAGGAAGCCCCAGGTCGGGCACAGCCCCGCCCCTGCTCCACACTGTGCCACTAGCCCAGGTGTCTCAGCCCTAGGACCCCCTCCGGTGCCCATTTCTGGGGCCCACCCAGTGGCCACTTCTCTGGAGGGGGCCTGGAAAAGAGGAGGGGGGCCCAGCTGTGGAGGGTGATGGCAGAGACTGGCCCAGGCTCTGTGGACTGAGCCCTCAAGGAGGTCGGGGGCTCCCCAGCCTGCCTGCTCCTATGCCCACGCTTGCCCTGCACCACCCATGCAGTGCCTTGCTGAAGACCGTGGCCAGCCCTTCTCTGAGCCCTGACATGCCTGCTGCTCTCCCCGGGTTGGAAAGGGGACCAGTCACAGCAAAGGGCAAGGAGGGGCCTGAAGGCACCAGAAGAAAAGGAGCAAATGGGGCACAGGCCTCAGGAGCCTGGGCAGCTGCCAGTGCAGCACATGGGGTTGGTGTGGGTTTAAACGACTGGGATGGCCCACCCAGAGCCGCAGCTGTGGGCCTGTGTGCTACCTGTCCCCATTAGAGATGGGGCTCCAGGGTTGTGCACGCGTGTGTGTATGTATCTTACTGGGGCTGGGGTGGCGGGAGTTTGGGTGGACTCTCCCTCCAGGGGTCACCTCCTCCCACTCTCAGGCCTGGCCTTTCCCTTTCTTGACCCTCCCTGCTAGTCTGAGCCTTGGAGGACTCCAGCCCATCGCAGCATGGGGCTCTGAGGCACCTCTCACCTCCCCCTCTGTCCTTGATCCCTGTCACCTCACCCGTTCCCTCCCTGCCTGGCCCTGGGCTGGACTCCTCCAATCCTGGGGCCCACCTGCTGAGCTGGCTTCCTTCCGGGGAACCCATCCTTTCTTGCCCAGGGCCCCCTTCCTGTGCCAAGCAGACCCCTGTCAGAGTCCACCTCAGCCTCACACCCTGCCCTGCTTCTGCCATGGCTTCAGTCAGGGACAGGAGGAAGTTGTGAAGAAGAAAGAAATGCAAGAACCAAGGGGCTCCCCAATCCTTGGAAGAGGCTGTGCATTGGACCTTTGGCAATGGATGAGCCAATAAACCAAACTCTGGCACCTCATTTATTTTGGCTTTTGTGTTCTTATCCTCCCCAGTTCACAGGGAGAAGGACTCCACCTGGGAAGTGGCCCAGCAGGGGGCCAGGGAGAGGAGAGGGAAAGGCCCGACTGGACTGTGAACCCCAGGAGCTCTGATCTCCAGGGAAGAGTCTACCTTGGGTTAGTTCTAAGAAAATGGTTTTTGGGTTCAAGATAAATGTCGAGGACCAGAGGAGAATTAAAGTCTAATTGGCCTCTTCTGAGCACAAAGGAGAAAGGCTGCACTCAGGGGTGATTGCAGATTAGGGATAAGTTAAGACAGCTGAGGTTAAGTTGCTTACCAGAGAATGCACTAATGGGTATTGGAAACCAACTGAATCTTGTTGTTACCTTGATAGCTTGTGCCTGTGTTTGGGTGCATAAAAGAGAGATGAGCCAAAGGCTTGAGGCTGCTCTGCCTGCTAGAGGTACAAGCTCCCTGACTGCCTGAGTGTTGAGCTGACTCCTTGTCTCAATTATTCATCCTCATTCTCCCCTGGGTCAGGGAGGAACAAAGTAGGGGCTCTAGGTCCTGGAGCAAGGCTGGCCAGGTGAGCTGGCTACAGGTCACACCCCAGCGTGGGGCCAGGGACTTGGGGTCACCTACAGATAAAGCCACGTACCTAGAAGAGGGGCCCAAGAGTTATCTTGCCCTTCCAAATGTTGCCTCAAGACCCCAGGCCCTCTGGTATCCCACAGAGAGTGTCAGATATAATTCTAGGGACACAGACCCCAGGGAAGTGCCCAAGGAAGAGGGTGGGATATGGGGCTGCCAGGTCAGGCTGCAGACTGAGTGGCCGCAGTACCTAGAAAGGCCAGAAAATGTTGGAGGGGATTAAGCCCGACCCTGAAGGGGCTGATGGAAGAGGCAGAGAAGAGGAAGCTAGGACAGAAGCTGTGCAAAGCAGTCTCACGAGTCTAGAGGCAGACAAGGGAGACAGCGCCAAAGGCTGGGCCCAGAGGGAATGTGGCACCAAGAAAGGAAGGGGTGGAAGAGGATAAAGGAGGAACGAGGCCTCAAGGCATGGCACGTGCAACTGGCTGGGATGAAATCCTGCAAGGCCAGAACCCAGGAGAAGCAAAAGAATGGCAGAGGCAGCAGCAAAAAGATTAGCAGAAAAGTGGAGAGGGAGGAGAAAAGAGCAAAGAAACAGCATGTAGCTCAGTTTTGTGAAGGGGAAGTAGAGGAAGCAGGGCATGGGGTAGGTAGAGGGTTCTGAGTAGAGGCCTAGACCCAGGCTCTGGACCCTCAGTTTGACAGAATGTCCCTGTGTGAGGCTTTCTTCTTCCTTCCCTGGCATCACATAATCTCCTGAACTGTGGTCATCGAGGGGGCAGGATATGAGAAGTCCACTGTCTGTCAAATCATCCAGTGACCAGCCCTCTGAAGGCTACTCCTTTCACCACTGGTCCCTGCGCACTTTGACCCCTTTCTCTAACCAAAAGAGGAGAAAGGTGCCAGGGTAAAATTCAGGGAGGAGACTCATCCTAGAAAGATACCCTGAAGATGTCAGCAGCTCCCATATGGCCAGGAAACCAGGTTAGGCATGCTCTACCTAAATCTCCTTTGCTGCGTAGTGCACACGCACGCACATGCACACACACACATAGACACACACTTACACTCGGGTACATGTTTGCATCCATGACCGATGGATAAGGAGGTCACTGCCAGATTCTGCACTGCCAGGCTTTCCACACACATCTGGATTTCCCTGTGTCAAAAAGAACGTGCTCAGATTTCCAAGCTCATTGGTCTCCATGGAAACATTCAGACTTCTAGAACTCTGGGCATAGGCCCTGCCCCCTGTGGTGCAGGGGAGGAGAGAGAAGATGGAAAGTGACAGAAAGAACACGTGGAAAGGCTCCTGGGAGGAAGCTGGCTGGGGTACATGTCTAAGTCTAGGTGACCCCTTGCTGCCGGTCCCCTCATTACCTGGGACCACCTGCTGGCTCCCATCTGCCTCGGTAGATCTCTGAAGGCCAGAGTGGAAAAAGGGATGTCAGTACAGAAGTTTATGGCCGGAACTACGGTCGGTATCAGATCAGTGCTTGGGTCCCCAGGGGCCTCTGAAAGGATTAGCTTTGTCTTGGGGGCTGGGGCCAGGGTCTAGCGTTGTGTCTTGTGCCCAAGCCCCCTTGAGGACACTGGGCAGCTCCCTCCACAGCTCAGTCCCAGACTACGATGCCTCAGGCCTGGAGCCGCTACAGCTGGCTCCTCCTCCTTTTCTTGTGGGTGTCCCATATCTGGAGAATCTGCTTAAAATGGGATTTCCATGCCTGACGTCAAAGGAAAGCCTCCTCTCCCTGATCAGCAAGCGGAGCCCAGCCTTGCTCCGCCCGGAAGGAGGCGGGGCGAGCAGAGAAGCGGGGGCATCCCGGATGGTGGAAACGAGCTGTTCCCAGGTCTACAGACCCTGGTGGCTTCCTCATCAACTTAAATTTCGGCCAGTGCATGATCATATTCCTCCCAAATCCCCCGCCCCATTTTATTCTCTGTGCTGGGTTACACCTGGTTGGAAGAGGAGAGCACCTCAAATCCGCTGAGCTGGACAGCGGCTTCCGTTTGGGTCCTGCCTGAGTAGGTCCTTCATCTAGGCTGCAGGGGAGGGTAGGAAGGGTGCGTGCAGAGAACAAAGCCCACTAGGTGGCGCAGCTCTCTTCCAATGTGGGATTCCGCGGCCGGCAGAAGGTCCTCTCCTGCAGCCAGTCTCTCAACTTTGGTGAGCAGAGAACCACATGCCCCACTCCACTGAGCATGAAGAAAGCATCTCTGAGGGTGCACAGGACAGCTGTGGATTCTAATGCAATCTCTGCCTAAGTCCACCCTGTACACCCTACATGAGGTGGTCAGTCCCAAAAGGCGCTTTCTTGGCGTGTGGGGATCAGGCACCCTCCCTGGGGCAGGGAAATTGCCAGGGTGACCCTGAGAGAGTCCTACAGCCCAAAAGACCCAAGCTGGGCTCTGTGTGTGTGTGGTGTTGGGGATCACACCCAGAGGTACTCTGTCACTACACTATACCCCCAGCACACCCTCTCCGTGACAGTGTCTCCCTAAGTTGCCCAGGCAGGACCTGAACTTGTGATTCTCTTGCCTCAGCCTTCCAAAGCCTTACAGGCCCAACCTGAGCTTCTGAAATGGCATTTAGAAAAGATGCCAGAGCTGATCTGAGAGTCAGAAGTAGGTGTTGGGCTGGTCATGGTGGTGCACTCCTGTGTTCCCAGCACTTGGGAGGCTGAGGCAGAAGGACTGCCAGTAGTTCAAGGCCAGCTACGCAGTGAGACCTTGTCTCAGAAAAAACAAACAAACAAAAAAAGGAAGGAGAAAGAAGAGGGGAAGGGGAAGGAAGAGTAGGAGGAGGGGAAAGAGGAGAGGGAGAGGAGGAGGAAGTGGAGGAGAAGGAAAAAAGAGGAGGAGGCTGGGTCCAAAGACAGGGAAGTTCACCCAGCTGCGCTGTTCCCTGGACATGGCCACAGTGGCCAGCTCAGGCCTGCTCCAGACTTCCTTGCCCCCTGACCCTTCCCTTAGTTTCATCCATGTGCTGTGAAGTTGGAAGAGAAGATGATGTTCCTAAAGCCTGGAATCCCTTATCCCCATGTATTTTTGTATTTTTGCAGGGCCTGGGAGTGGCCTCCCCAGTGACCCACCTTTCCCTGACCTCTTTCCCAAATGGACCCTTGCATGCTTAATTCCCTTCTTTTTTTGTGCCAGGCAAATGAGTGATCATATACTAGAATCTCTTAGCTCAATCCCATCATTTGGGAATTGAGTGCTGGCAGGTAAATGGACACACATACCCCCACTCTTTCCTGCCCTTCAGCAACACCAGGTCTTCACCAGAATTTCCACCCAACTTCATCTCAGTCAGAATCACAGCTTAGTCCCATCAACTAAGAGGCAGAGACCCCAGAGATCAACTCAGGTAGCGCCCTGGGAGGGACAGGGTGAGCTAAGCCAAGCGGAGACTCTTCCTGGTACCTTGGTTTCCCACGATGCCACCCAGATGCCATTTCCTCTGTTCATCCATCCTGGGCCTGCTAGGTCCAGCTTTCTAAGCATCTAGTTCAGGAGACTGAAGTCTTAGTGGCTCCACCCAGACTTTTGCAGCCTAAGCAGAAGGGACCTTATGTGCTCCCAGACTTCTCTGGCCCAGGTCACTCTCATCTGGTTTGTTCTCTATGAAAAGGAGAGGAGGAGAAGGAGAGGAGGAGGCAATGGAAGCTCTTGAGCCAACTCAGCCAGTACCAGTTCCCTGCCCTTTGGGAGACAGGCACAGTCAATCTCTGCCTGCCTGCTTCCTTCTGCCAGAGCTCTCCAGTTCTCTTTCACCAGGAGAGCTCTGAAGTGACTCCTCCCCTCCTCTATGCAGGCTATCAGATGCACCCTCTGGGGCCTCTGCCACACCTGTCCTTCCACTGACAGCATACCCTGCCCTGTGTGGTTACTGCCTGTTCTCCCACCAGACTGAAAGCCCAAGTGTAGGCAACGGATCCAGCTGGTTCACCACTGTTTGCCCAGCACTTAGCACGGGCGAGGCACGCAATAAGCACTCTGCACATCTTTGTGGAATGGCTGAATGATGCCCCTGTAGCATTCTCCCATGCCTGGAAGAACAACCTTCAAACCTCAGCTCCCCCTGTGGAGCTGCTCGCCTGCCTGTCCCAGACACTGGTGTCGAGCTGCGTGGGGCCTCCCGGACCTGCTGCCCTCACTCTGGTTCCCCAGCAGGTGCCCACGCTCCCCTCCTTTCCTTCTCTCTCACACAGATGGGAGTCAGCTTTCCAGCCACATTCAGTTCTCACTTCAATTCATTGCTAAATTGGGAAGAAGAGCAGCTTCACACTCCTGATTTAGCCTGGGAGAGAAAAAGTGAGACAGCCTGGATGTTGCCAGGGAAAGGAGAAGGCTGGGTCTAGGGTTGGAAGTGGTCTCAGACCTACCCCAAACCCCAGAAATACCCCAAAACCCCCAGCACCCTGCTTC